TGTTAGATCTTCCCTTTTTCGCTATTCCGAATTAACCACCCAGAAATTTCTCCGCAGCAATTCTAGCCCAGCCGAAGAAAAATCAAAATTCCAACAGCCTTGACCACGAAAAACGTGTTAACAAAAACTCTGCCAACGTAGCCAGAAAAATGCCGCCTAAAACACTGTCCTCTCAACTCTGAGGCAAAAGTCCAATTAGCCGGGTGTTTGAAAACGCACTCGTCCGCTCGATCGATTGCCTGATCGACCGCACGGGGTAGGCGATTCTCTTTAGCCCAGCTTTCAGTCACCATTATATACTTTCCCTTTCTTCTTTTGTTTTTATCTGATTCCCGGATACCTCCCCTCCTGAAGCTGTTGCCGTTGTGTATGAAGCTAGCCGGGGATTAACCTGGAGCCTCCTGGAAGGGATTCTTCGCCTACCGGTGCATCGCCTTGGCTGTAGTGTTCTGGACTGGAATTCCGTACTCTGCGGTCTGGTATTATTCGTCTGATGACAGGGTTCTTCTACTGGCTCTGTAGGCAAGTTGAAGCTGTCTGTCAACAGGTCAAATGGAAGCTTGGCGGATTCTATTGCTTGTGGCTGGCACATTGTTGTTCGCAGTTGGTTTGCATGGCGTACCCATACCTGCGTTCCAACCAGCACGTCGTAAATGACGCTTCCGCGCTTGCACTGGATCGTTCCTGGCGTCCATTTTGCGTGTCCACCCCGATAATCACGCACAAGTACTGGCTGACCCGGTGTAAACGAACGTTGCTTGGCACCAAACCGCCGATTAAAGTCACGTTCCATCTTTAGGTTCCTTTCACCAGCTATGGACTCTGAGGATGGCCGAACTGCATCATATGGCATGCGAAGTTTTCTCTGCATCATTGCCTCTGCTGGTGATATTCCACCCGGCGTTTGTGGATTTTGTGTAGATCGGTACAGAAATAGGAAGCGGTCAATCACCTCCTCTATGTCTCCCTCCCTCCTTGATTTGAGGAGAGCGCGTTTGAATGTATCCACAAACCTCTCTGCTTGGCCATTTGATTGTGGGTGGAATGGTGGAGACCGCACGTGTTTGATGGCGCAACGTTGGCAGAATTCCATGAATGTGGCCGAAGTAAACTGTGCTCCATTGTCCGTCACCAATGTTTCAGGGCAGCCGAACCTGCTGAAGATTTGTCGCAACCTAGAGACGGTTGCGCTGGTTTTCGTGCTTCTCATGAGGAACACTTCGGGCCACTTGCTATAAGCGTCGACCAATATGAGAAAGTTCTGGCCATTGATTGGGCCTGCAAAGTCTACATGAACACGACTCCAAGGTTTAGTTGGTTTAGGCCATGAGCGGAGTTCAGTCTTTGGCGGTGCCCTTGAGGCGGTAGCGCAGTTGCCACAACTTTTAGCTAGCTGCTCCAGCTGCCTGTCCATAAACGGCCAATATACATAACTTCTGGCAAGCGCTTTCATTCGGTTGAGCCCTGGATGTCCTGCATGGAACTGTCGCAGCACTCTTTGTTGCAACGCCTGCGGGATGACTACTCTGTCTGAGAACATGATGCAATCGTCCACAATGGAAAGCGAATGTCTTCGCTGATAGAACTGCTGCATTTCGGCAGATGAACACGAACGTGGCCAGCTGGTTCTGTGGAAGTGTGTCACCTTCTTCAGGATTGGGTCTCGAAACGTTTCGGCCCGCACAGCATCGGCCGTAACTGGCATACCATGTAGTGCCTCGTTCACCAGGAATTTGACATCAGGTTCGATTTCAACTGAGGCAATGATGGTGTCCTCGTGTTGTTGTTGCTGGGAATCAATGAGGCGTGACAACGCATCTGCTTGGCCCAGCGAATTTGTTGACTGATAACGGATTTCAAAATCATAGCCCAGCAATGTAAGTGCCCATCGTTGGAGTCGATTAGCTGTATAGGCAGGAATTCCCTTCTTCGAGCCGAAAATGGCCAGCAGCGGCTTGTGATCCGTCAAGAGTTTGAAGCGGCGACCATACAGCATTTTGTGAAATTTCTTCACAGCAAACACTATGGCCAATGCCTCCTTCTCGATCTGACTGTAGTTTCTTTCAGCTTTCGTTAGCGTCCTGGCGGCATGTGCGATCGCCTTCTGAGAACCATCTGGGAACGTATGGGAAACTACGGCACCGATTCCTAGACTCGATGCGTCTGTGGCAAGGACAATTTCCCGGGAAGGATCAAAATGAGTTAGGAGTAAGTCTGAAGCCAACAATGACTTGACCCGCTCAAACACAGTCTGGCATTCTGGCGCCCAATTCCAGGTTTGGCCCTTGCTCAGCAACTTATTCAATGGGGCACGCAGGCGATGTAGTTCGGGCAGAAAAGCGCTGTAATGACTGATTAGGCCACAGAATGAACGCAGCGACTGCAAGTCCACAGGTGGGGGCATCTTTTGAATAGCTCGGATATTTCTGGATCAGGGCGACGACCGTCTTTTGAGAAGATGAAACCGAGAAACTTGATGGTTGGTGTAAAAAAGGTACACTTATGTTCATCGCAATCAGCCGACAATTCAGATATGTCGACCAGCTGTCCGGAAAAGCACCAGACGGCCGTTTCGCCCTATTGGGGCTCATCAGTGGTGCGCATCCTTCGGTCCTCTGTGGAGGATCGAACCCATGACTGCTAGTGGCTCTTGCCAACTAGCCCGCAGCTTATGCAACTGCGCCATGGAGGACGGTATCTGACTATCGTGAATTGTTAGCTAAATGCGATATAGCTAACAATTCACGATAGTCAGATACCGTCCTCCATGGCGCAGTTGCATAAGCTGCGGGCTAGTTGGCAAGAGCCACTAGCAGTCATGGGTTCGATCCTCCACAGAGGACCGAAGGATGCGCACCACTGATGAGCCCCAATAGGGCGAAACGGCCGTCTGGTGCTTTTCCGGACAGCTGGTCGACATATCTGAATTGTCGGCTGATTGCGATGAACAAAAATACTCACCAAAATCCTTCCATTCACAAGTAATATCAATTCGCCCGTACGGATTCCACAAAATGCTATGTCGATTCATAGCTGCCGTAACCGGGAAGTCCTGACGCCGGAAGGCCGACCGCTGTCATCTGCATGGCAGGTGCCTGCATGGCAGTGGAGGATGCGTCGGGCTATATCGCATTTAGCTAACAATTCACGATAGTCAGATACCGTCCTCCATGGCGCAGTTGCATAAGCTGCGGGCTAGTTGGCAAGAGCCCCTAGCAGTCATGGGTTCGATCCTCCACAGAGGACCGAAGGATGCGCACCACTGATGAGCCCCAATAGGGCGAAACGGCCGTCTGGTGCTTTTCCGGACAGCTGGTCGACATATCTGAATTGTCGGCTGATTGCGATGAACAAAAATACTCACCAAAATCCTTCCATTCACAAGTAAGGTACACTTATCTTCGCGGATACGGAAACCATATGACTGGATACGTACAAGCACTTCAGCGAGCCGCTGAAATAGTTCTTCTGCCGTCCGACCCATTAAAATGATATCATCCAGGTACGCCGCGGCTCCAGAAACTCCCGCGAGCATGGTGTCCATCAGCTGCTGGAAGATGGCTGGTGCTGTTTTCACGCCAAAAGGGAGGCGGTTGTATTGGTACAAGCCTCGATGAGTGTTGATGGTCAGCAATTCTCTTGAGCTTTCATCAACCTCAACCTGGAGGTAGGCATCGGACAAGTCGAGCTTGGCGAAACACTTCCCACCATTTAGCTTGGCAAAGATATCTTCTGGTATCGGAAGGGGGTATTGATGGTCGTCCAATGCGGCATTCAAGCCGGTCGAAAAATCGGCGCAGATTCGCACTTTACCGTTCGGCTTTTTCACAGCAACAATCGGCGTAGCCCATGAAGAGTAGTTCACTGGTGTGATGACACCGGCTCGTTCCAGTCGGTCGAGCTCCTGATCAACTGCTGTCATGGCTGCATACGGTACCGGTCTTTTTGCTCTAAAGACTGGCTTGGTTCCTTCACGAAGACACAACTTTGCTTTGAACTTAGTGCAGTGGCCGAGACCATCTTCAAACAAGGTGACAAACTGCTGCTTTAGCTTTCTGGTCATCTCTTCTATCGACAATGATGAATGTACTGGGTCGGTTTGTACTGTATTGCAAATCTGACTCATTGGAGCATCAAACAGTTGTAATTTTTCCATCCAGTCAAGTCCAAGGAGGTTCAAGTTTGGTCGATCAGACAAGTAGCAGGTTCCGGCCTTTTCCACTCCGTTGAATGCAATTTTGCAATTTATTTCTCCGACCAACTTCAGCACTCCACCGGATGCATTGTGAGCGATTTTGTTGGAATCAATCATTTTCGGCTTCTTTATGTGCTTCCAAGTGTTCTTGGAAATGATCGTTATATCTGATGCCGTATCGAACTGCAGCCGGGTTGGGATTCCGTTGATAAGCACAGTGATAAATCGGCGGCGTGTTCTAGAATGGCTGTGAAACGTAGCAATCACCGATAGTGATTCTGCGTCAGGTTTTCTGAAATTCTTCATTCGGTAGGACTGCTCCACCTTTCTTGGCCGGGATTGATGGCAAAAGTCTTCCTTGTGGCCGCGTTTATGGCACTTATCACAAATATGACGCTTGAATGGACAGTATCGTGCGAAATGCCATTCACCACATGACCAACAAGGTGTAGGCGGCTTGTTCGGCTTTCTGTTGAACGACTTATTCGAGCCAGATTTTCTTGATTTTTGCACAGCATGAACAGTATCGGCAATGGTGGGGCGACTCTGCTCAATCATAGCCGTGTCGTGTTTCAAGGTAATTAACCGTTTGCATTCGCCTACAAGAGACTTCAATGTCAAATCTGGGTCTTGATCCAACTTAGCAAGGAGCCGAGTGCGGATTTCCGCGTCGCGTGGAGACTGTAAAGCACTGACAAATATAAGACACTTAAACTGGTCATCCGTCAAACAGCGTAACTTGAAACGTTCACATTCGCGGTTAACCATGTCTGCTAGTGCCCCATAATCGTCTGTCTCACGCTTTACAATTTTTAGACATTGATAGCGAATGCTAAACAATGATGTCGACTCACCAAAAATTTCTTTGAGTGTTGCCACTGCTTCGTTGAAAGTGATGTCCTTCGGCTCTTTGGGCAATATGTGGTCAAGGAATCTTGTATGTTCATTAGTTCCGAGTTTGCGGAGCAAAAGGCGCACTTTCCATGAATCATCTTGACGGCTGAAATCCGTCTGGAACATATCCTCCCAACGTTTGAACCACGCCTCGAAAGTGGATTCGGAATCAGCATCATAATGAAATTCAGTGATTGAATTCGTAAGAAGATCAAGTGAAACAGCCTGCGTGTCCCGTGTAGCTGCTCCGTTTGATTGTACGTTTAAGCACTGCGTTAAACTTTCAATCAGTTTCATTTGTGCTTCCATCTGGGATTGTTGCTGAAGAAGCAGCTTTTGAAAATGTTCGGCAGAAAAATTTGTAACATTTCCGTGCTTGTCCGTCGCCATTGTTAGATCTTCCCTTTTTCGCTATTCCGAATTAACCACCCAGAAATTTCTCCGCAGCAATTCTAGCCCAGCCGAAGAAAAATCAAAATTCCAACAGCCTTGACCACGAAAAACGTGTTAACAAAAACTCTGCCAACGTAGCCAGAAAAATGCCGCCTAAAACACTGTCCTCTCAACTCTGAGGCAAAAGTCCAATTAGCCGGGTGTTTGAAAACGCACTCGTCCGCTCGATCGATTGCCTGATCGACCGCACGGGGTAGGCGATTCTCTTTAGCCCAGCTTTCAGTCACCATTATATACTTTCCCTTTCTTCTTTTGTTTTTATCTGATTCCCGGAT